GTGTCAAGGGAAGACTATCTTAGAGATTCTACTCAGCAGCCCAGCTCTAGAAGCAGAGCATATGGACTGTGGTATTGGTCCAGGTTGGGGCTCTGCTGGGTGGAAATGATGTACAGAAACTGTGGACCCGGTGCTCATCTGGAAGGTCTTGGATGGGAGGCACAGAAGGAAAGAAGTAGGAAAGGAACTGATACTAGGAGAAATAAAGTGGGTTAGGGTAGGTCTCCCCAAACTTTAGTATATGTTCAGTCATCGGGGGAGTTTAAGCAGAGATTTTGATTTATGGGTGTGATCCAGGAATTTGGCCAGCAAATTCTGATGCAGCTGGTGGGGGTGAGTCCACTTTGTGTGGAATGTTGATGTAGATCTCGGAGGTCTTGAGGTTGAAGAACTCATGTGATAGGAGTCAGGAATTAAGAGGGCTGGCAGTGTAAAAGGCTGGGATTACACAGTGGGGTTTTTGAAGCCGGAGCTCAGTTTTGAACTGGCTAACCTTATTCCCACCATGAGGCCTTTATATTAGCTATGCCCTTTGCCTAGCACAATGCTGTCCATATATAGTTGTAAATGTTCTAGTTCCCACATTAAAGAGGTACAAGGAAACAGACAAAATTAATTTTAATAACATATTCTCTTTAACATAGCCAAAATATTATTCAATATACAATTACTATGAAATTGTGAGCTATTTTTACATCATTTTTGTCTTACTAACTCTTCAAAATTCAGTGTGTATTTCATACTTGCTTCACATCTCAGTTTGGACCAACTGCATTCCAAGTGCTCATTACCCTCACGTGGCTATCATATTGGCCAGCACAGGATGGAATGTCATCATCGCTCCCCCCATCTTTGCATGGCTGGCTCCATCTCATTCAGGTCTCTACCCAGAGATGTCTTTCCTGGCCACGCTGTCTAAACCAGCCACCTTCCATTCCTAACACTGCTTTCTTTTCTTCAGAGACTTATTGCTATCTGATGTCTTATTAGTTATTTGTTTGCTTATTATCTGCCTCCCCATAGGCTATAAATCTCATTAGGGCAAATCCCTGTCTGTCTTCTTTAATGCAATATCCCCAGCAACTACGTCACACCTTCAATAGACTCTCAACAAATATTTGTTGAATGACTTTGAAGATTCCAGATTCATCATTTGTTGTCTCTGAAGCCAGTGTTCATTCAGTAGGATGTTAGGCAAGGGGGCCAGAGGGAAGAGCATTATGCAAGATATGAGGTGGGAGAAAACCAGCCTGAAAGCTAAAAGGCTGACTCTCAGATGTCAAAGTAGAAGCCGGGCAGCTTTCCAGCTGTGACTTGCCTGTGTGTTGATTCAACCACTGGCTTATCCGGTTCTATGAGAAACCATCTCACCAAGTGGTACTTCTGCCTGGCACCAGTAGATGGGGCAGTGTCATAACAAAAAAAAAGTGCAGTCTGCCTTCCAGTTGGGGGTCCGACCACTTCCCCAACTGACTTTGCTGAAGTTCTGTTCTGGAAATGCCCTATGTCTCAGATCTGTGGTGTGGGCTCATAGGGGGCGCCACCAGCTTTCCCAACAAAATACAGCCGCAGTTGTGACTAGTGCTTTCTGAAGGGTGGCCAGCTTCTCCAAAAGGTGAGGTGGGCCCCAGAGGCTGGCCCAGGCCCTAGGAGACAGCTTGGTCCTCCTCCTGGGTCTTTGAGCACAGGCACAGAGCATGACTCACACACAGGAGTGTTCCCATTTGTCTTCTAGAGCCTTTCTGTCCTCCCAAGGTTGAAAACAAGCTTATTAAGAAGGCAGTCCAGCCCTGACTGGTGTGGCTCATTGCTTGGGCGTTGTCCCATGCACCAAAAGGTTGCCAGTTCGATTCCTGGTCAGGGCACATGCCCATGTTGCGGGCTCAGCCCCTGGTGGGGGGGGGGGGTGGTGTAGGAGGCAGCTGATTGATGTTTCTCTCTCCCCCTCTTCTTCCTCTCTCTCTCTCTCTCTCTCTTTCTCTCTCTCTCTCTCTCTCTCTCAATAAAAATATTAAATGACTCTTGTCAAGAGAGTCATTTATGGCCCATTAAAAAACATTAAAAAAGGAAGGTAGTCCAGGTGTGGCAGAGACCAGTCCACAGGAGCAGTTCTGTGGACCTATTTGCCGGTGTGCCTGGGACTGACACTCTGGCTGCTGCTGGAAAGCCTGGCCTTCCAGACGAAACTTCCCTGCCACTGCATGAAGCCCATGGTGGTCCCCCTCGCAGATGCCGAGGCCAACCTTAGCTCCCACCACCTGCCCCACACCCTCCTCCCCAAACCCTTCTGACCCTTGGACCTCTAAGCAGTTTGGAAATGGTAACTGCTTGAACGTGACATCTACTTTTGTAGGGTTCAGACTTCAAGATTACGGACCAGTTAAAGGTTAATTTGGTGTGTTTTAAATGGAAGTTTTGGTTTGGAGTGCCTATGTCATTGCCACTGCAAGATATTCTGGAAATTTGAGCCAAAGAATGAATTAATTTTGGCTTAAATGGCTTATTATAATCCTAACTATCTCATTCCCACATCATGCCTGGTACCCCTCCAATTAACCCATGGTGCTACTGAGCAGTAAGAAGTCACAGTTTTGGTCTAATGACAGCCTGGGGCCAGTCAGCCATTCCTTCCTGAAGAGACAAGGAGGGCCCAAAAAGCATGATCAAGAGACTTTCTTCTTTGATCAGGAAATCACCTTCTTTCATTGTTACAGTAGTTAAACTCCATCCTAATCTGCACATGTACATGCATTTTCAAGTTCTATAATTTTGATGTCATTTATACCCCAAAAGCCCTTTAATTCTTACCCGCATGAAGAAATGCTCTCTATCCTTCATATGTTATCACCTCTGTGGAGCCTTCTCTGACTCTCCTAGTCGTAATGAACCTTTTCTTCCAGTTTTGGGTCTTTCTCAGGGCCCAACTCTGTTTTCTTATTCCCATGCATGTCTCATTTATTAATTCAACAATTAAGCAGTGCCTATTGGTACCAGGCACTGGGGATGCCGGGTGCTTTCATAGAACCTACAAATCCAGAGTTGAGTGGACTTCACATCCTTCATTGGACTGGGAGCTTCTTGGAGACAGGAATTGGGTCTGCAAGGGACTAGGTCTGGGACTGGCACCAAAAGGTACTCAGCAGTTAGTTAAATTGAAACTCAACACCAGCGACTCTGAGAAAACTGAATTAGAGTTTAAAAAAAGGTTAAACGTTAGCAAAGGTAGAAGGCCAGGGCTCTCCAGGAGGACTATGTGGTTCTGAAATCTGGCACAGAAGCCAGAGACATCCAAAATCCCCTGGTGGACTGGGCCTATGGAGTGGAGATCGCACTGTCCTCCTCTAGGACGATTTTGGAAGTTTGACGTAGGATCATCTGGGCGTATATCACACATCCCAGTCGGAAGGGTTTTTTTTTTTTTTTTTTTAGAAGACCATAGAGGCAAGCAGGTTGTTTCAAAGGCCCAGAAATGAGTTACTAGCCAAAGGTCAAGCTGGTCAGAAGATTAAAGTTGCATTGTCTAGTTGGCACAGAAAAAAAGCATGATTCATGTGATTATCATTCCCAGTGGAGGGTGGCCTGGCATTATTTGACACTCAAATAAAAACGTCATTTGGATTTTTACGGGGAATTCTCATCCAAACTGTGTCAATGATGTAATAAAATAGAATGACTGGCTTGTCAAAGCAAACTGAGTTCTGATCACAGGTAAGCATTTCTTGGAAACTGTGTATATCTCAGAAAACAGATACTCTGAAACATGACAGCAGCAGGGGGCGCTGCTGGGGATTAGGAGCAGGTAGCACCTTATTTATAGTCTGTATATTTATATACTATCTTGTTCACTCCAATCATCTCACTATTACCTGTGCAGAAAGGCTCCAAGATAGTGAAAAATGAGTCTTTGTGTTTTCTTTGCCCCTCTCTATTTTCTTTAGTAGAATAAAATTCTGGAAAAAAAAAATTTAAACAGCCCTGACTGGTTTGGCTCAGTGGATAGAGTGTCAGCCTGTGGACTGATTCCAGTCAAGGGCATGTACCTTGGTTGTGGGCACATCCCCAGTGCGGGGTGTGCAGAAGGCAGCCGATCGATGTTTCTCTCTCATCGATGTTTCTCATTGTCCCTCTCCCTTCTTCTCTCTAAAAAATCAATAAAATATATTTTAAAAAAAAAAAGCCTGTCTCATATGGTGATTATGATATTCCAGTAGGTTATAGTATAAAATCCCACCTTCTACCACCTCCTCAAGTTTCGATGGAGACATTTATTCAGTGAGTTGCAATTCATCCTGGGGGTGGAGCTTCAGAAATCAAGTTTTTCTCCTGAGGGGTAACCCCGGTCTTTGCGCTACCTGTAGATAAAAGAGATGCTGGTAAATTTGGGGTGTAATTGCTGGATTAGACTGGTCTCCCCATTCCCTCGACCAATGACTGCAACCAGGTCCCTTTAAGAGACTAGGAACCCGCAGGGCGTCGGAGACCGAAACGGATAGTCTTCCCTGCGCCTCCCCTGTCCCCGCTCGGCAAATGGTTTGCGCCGGCCTATATTTACCCGAGATCTTCCTCTCGGACGGCAAGGATGTGAGGCTGGCGAGCCGGCCAGCGCTCCCAGAACCCGAGGGGTCGCGCTGCAGAGGCGGGTAGCAGACCGAGAGGGGACACCGGGAGCGGAGTTGGACATCCCTGGAGGGAAGAAATGAGGTAGCGACCGTCCCCGGAGCCGACCATGC